AAAAGAAACTTTTTTTAACATTTTTGTCTTTGGCCTTTTTTGAAAACTGTAATTTTTTTTAAAGAAAATTTTGAGAAGAAATTATTTTTTAAAATTGGCTGTCTATCTTCTATTCCTTAGCCTAAACAAATATTTTTTTCTTTGTTTTTGTTTTAATATTTTAAATCTTGTTTTTTTTTTGAACAAGTACGTGTGTTTATTACAAAATTTAAACTATTAAAGGATTTTTTGTTTTCTTTCTTTTCAAATCCTCTGTTTACATGACATTAATGATGACATATCGGATGCAAAAATAAATGAGGCATTTAATCTGTTTAAAACTAAAGACAAGGGAGAAAATAGAAAATTAGAAAAAAATACCCCTAAATGGGAAAAGTAAAACTACCTAAACAAAAAAGGAAAATTTCAAGAGTTTTTAGGCTCATACACACACACACATGCATACATATGTACATATGTAGTAAAACCCCACAAACTCCTTGGTAACCTTTAATATGGGAAATTTTTTTCCTTAAAGCAAATCAATACTTAAAGAAAAATTAGTTCCAAACACAACAGGTCAGTAGTCTTAAAACATTATATAGGTTTATTTTTTCATAGTGAGTAAAATAAAAGAGGGTTAGACTAAGTAGAACTAATTTAATTTTCCAAAAATTTTATTTATTATTTATAAATAATTTTCTAACTTTTGTTAATAAGACTTTCAAGGGGTTTCTTGTTCTAATGTTTTAGGGGCGTTCTTTCATAATTTTCCATTTATTTTACTTGTCTAATATTGACATTTGAATTTCCGTTTTTATTTGTCTAAGAGTATGAGAGTTTTTTAAGAGTTTTTCTTAAAAAAAAAACTGTCAATTTGTATGTAAAAGATTTTTCTTTTTTTTTTTTTTTGGCAAAAAAATCTTTTATAATTTACATAAACTCTTACAACAATTTTTTTCTCCATTTCTGCTTATGTTTCATTTGTTATTTGCTGGTAGATATTTTTTTGTTTTCTTGTCGTCTGTTTGTTTGTTCTTTAATCCAGCATATTTTTGCATATTTTCAGTTAGTGGTGTTAGCATATTTTTTGACAGCTGTCAGGAAGTAATAAGTATAACAGAAAAGCTGTAGAAGAAAAAACAAACCTCAGCTCTTTAAAAAAAAGCTTCTTTTCCTTTTTACTTTACTTTTGTTATTTATATCCTGTGTATCCCGAAAAAAACGCAAGAAAAAGGAAAAAATGGAAAAATGTATTTGCTATTGACATTTTATATAAATCCTCAAAAAAATGCGAAATAAATTATAAAGAAAATGGAAAACACAAAAATACATTTCCGTTTATAAAGAATCCGAAAAAAAATATTTAAAAATTAACTTCATATCAAAAACATTACTTTTTTCTAATAATTTATAAAATAAATAAGAAATTAACAACAAATTATTATACAAGACTCTTTAATTCAGGTCCCCAGGCTGCTTAGCTTTAAACGGAGTTTAGTTAAACTAAGTTTAAGTCAGTTATATGAACATTTTTTTTATCGATATTTTAAAAAAGTTTTTATTTTTAAGAAAACAGTGTTAAACTTTCAAAAGTTTAACTTTTAAGTTAATTAAGTTTATGAAAACTTTATTAATACTTAAAAAATCTCCTGCTGTTTCTCACCCTAATTTAAACTAAGTAGCTTGTTGTACAACCAAATTAAATTAGCTTTAATATATAAACTAATATATTGTTAATAAACAATACTACTTAATCCTAAAGTTTATTGTTAATAACAAATAATACCATAATAATTTAAGCCTACACATGTTTACAACTATTTTTCTCTTACACTTAAAAACTTATGCTTAAGTTTTGACAATATTTTTAAAATTTTAAAAATTTTATTATTATTTTGTTAATAATGTTAACACATATTGAGTTTATTTGTATAATAATCTAGTATTTATAGTTACAGCAAACCAAAACATAAGGCTTTGTTAAAAGTTTAACTTACGTTTAAAAGAGTTTGAGAAAATAAGTTTGTTTTGTAGTTTTTAAACTATTGATAAAATGACAAAAGTTTATTAAATGTAAAGAAAATTTTACATAAATATTTAAGGCAATAAAATGTTTAAATCTTAAGAGTTAATAATAAGACAAAACTGAATTATAATGATAAAGAAAGTAAAGAAAAAAATATTAAAGAAAATTTATAAAAATTCGTTAAAAATTTAAAGATTTTTTTTTAAAAACTTAAGAAATTTTTAAACAAAAATTTATAAAGAAAAGGTGTAAGTTTTTAAAAATTTTAAACATTTTTCTAGGTTTTTGTAAAAAATTTTTGAGAAAAACGAAATTTTTTTAGAGAAAAAATTTTCAAATTTGTTAAAAGTTTAAATTAATTTTACAAAAATTTATATTAAGGAATTTTAACTTTTTTAACAAATTTCCAAAGCTTAAACTGTCAGCTTTCAAATAAAAAAAAATTATTAAATTTTTCTAAAAATAACAATTTTAAAATAAATTAAACAAAAAACCGAAAAAAAAATCTTTGAAAAATATTTGAAGTTTTTACTTAATTTTCAAGAAATTTTAAAGAAATATTTTCATAAAATTGAACGAAAACATTAGCTTAATATGTTTTTTAATAAAATGTGTGAAATTTTGTTAAATTTTTCTTTAAAATTTTTAAACAAAATCAAATTTAATTTCAAGTTACAAAAGCTTTACACTTTTGATTTTTTTCTAACAAAAACATTGAACTAATAACATTTTTTTAACAAAACCAGTTTTGTAAATGATTAATTATTATGATGATAGTTAATAATTATTAAGCAAAAACTAATGTTAATACAAATTTTAATCAAAATTTACACACAAAAGGTAAAATAGTTAAAATTCGTTTAACAAAATTTAGGTAAAGACGGACGGACGGACAGACGGATAGACAGACAGACGCACAGACAGACAGATAGACAGACACACAGAAAGATAGACAGACAAACAGCCAGTTACTTCGACAAAACATATTTTCTAACTAATATAATTTAATTTTATGATAAATAGCCGTTTGATTAAGTTAAAATAGTATTAAACTAGCTTAAGAATTTAGTTTAATTAATAACATTTAATAAAAAGTTAATTCTCAATAAATTTAAACATTTGTTAAACAAACTGGTTTATTATAAAGTAATAATGATAAGAAAATGTTTTACCCAGAAGTTAGAGATTTGTGGTTTTAAGAAAGAGTTAAAAGTTAAAGTAAAGAAAAAGCTTAAACGTAGTTTAATGTTAACAAAATGTTAACATTTTTATCAATTTGTTAATATGATAAAAATTTACTTAATAATAAAATCATTTAGAATATTTGCACAAAGTTTATAAAATTTTGCAAATTTTTTGATTGTAGAAATCTGCCTAAAATAGTTGTTGTTGTAGGGAATTTATTCTTTTAAATTTCAAAAGCTTTTTCCTTGAGCTTTTAATTAAGATCACTTCCAACAAAATATCTCAATGTGTTCATTTAGAAAATTTGCACAAAGTTCATAAAATTTTGCAAATTTTTCGATTGTAGAATTCTGCCTAAAATAGTTGTTGTTGCAAAAATGGAAAAAATTCTTTTACATTTCAAAAGCTCTTTCCTTGAGCTTTTAATTAAGATTGTTTACAACAAAATTGCTTAATATATTCATTTAGAAAATTTACACAAACTTCATAAAATTTTGCAAGTTTTTTGATTGTAGAATTCTGCCTAAAATAGTTGTTGTTGTAAAAATCGAAAATTTTCTTTAAAATTTCAAAAGCTTCTTCCTTAAGCTTTTAATTAAGATCACTTCCAACAAAATTTCTCAATCTGTTCACTTAGAAAATTTGTACAAAGTTCATAAAATGTTGCTAATTTTTTTGATTGTAGAATTCTGTTTTTTGTTGTTGTTGTTGTTGCAAACATGGAAAATGTTCTCTCACATTTCAAAAGCTCTACCCTAAAGCTTTTAATTAAGGCCACTTACAACAAAATTGCTTAATATGTTTATATTTCAAATCTGAAGAAATTTTCTTGAATTTCTTATATTTTCTTAAATTTGGCATAAAATTGTTGTTGTTGCAAAAATTTTAAATTTTCTTTAATATTTCAAAAGCTTTTTCCTTAAGCTTTTAAATAAGATCGCTTACTACAAAAAAAAAGCTTAATATGTTTTGTTTTTAATTCAAAACAAAGTTTGATGAACATTTTGAATTAGTTTTTTTTAGCTTTTCTTAATTTCTTTGACAATTGTTGTTGTTGTTGCAAAAATTGAACATTTTTTTTAATATTTCAAAAGCTTAGCCCCTAAGCTTTTAATTAAGATCAATAACAGCTAAATTGCTTAATATGTTTTGTTGTTGATTCAAAACAAAGTTTGTTAAATTTTTTAAATTAGAGTTTTTTTGGTTTTTCTTCAAATCTTTGTAAAATTGTTGTTGTTTTAAAAAAGGAAAATTTCCTTCCACATTTCAAAAGCTTATCCCTTAAGCTTTCAATTAAGATCAATAACAACTAAATTGCTTAATATGTTTTGATTTTAATTCAAAACAAAGTTTGTTAAATTTTTTGAATTAGAATTTTTTTTCGCTTTTCTTCAAATCTTTCTAAAATTGTTGTTGTTTTAAAAATGGAAAATTTGCTTTCATATTTCAAAAGCCAGTCCATTAAGCTTTCAACTAAGACCACTTGCAACAATATAGCTTAACATGTTCCTTTTCAAAATCTCAACAAAGTCTATCAACTTTTAAATTTTTTAGGTTTTCTTTAATTTTGTCGAAAATAGTTGTTGTTGCAAAAATGGCCTAAAATTTGTTGTTGTTGCAAAAACTTATAACTTTAATACACCTTTTAAAAGCTAAATCCCTAAGCTTTAAAGTATTGACACTCGAAAACTAAACGCTTAATATGTATTTTTGTTATTAACCCAGCAAACAATGTTTTAAATTGGCAAAAGCCAAAACTTAAAGAAGTTGCACTTTAAACTTTAAACGAAAGTAAAACAAAACTTGCCTTGTCTACCATGTGTGCGGGCTGCTGTTGATGTCGATGATGGAGGATTCTGTGATTGTTGTGATTCATTGCCACGATGTGGTAAATGTTGATATTCATAATCATAATATGAAGACTGTGAATCGCCGCCTTGCATTTGTTGCTGCTGTTGTTGCTGTTGTAATTGTAAATTTTGTTGATTCTGATGATGTAGTGTATTTTGTTGTGTTACATTGCTATGTGGATGTCTAGGTGTCATTGAACCCACTACTAATGGTACAACACCACCACCACCACCGCCACCCACTGCCCTAGTATCATCACGACAATCGAGCGTTGTTTCATATTCATAGGGATTCATGGTGGACGATTCTAAAGGACATTCGTCGTCGTCGGTATCAGTGCCACCGTCGTAGATGTTCTCAGCGTGACGGTATGCCGGATGATGATGATTTTGCTTTGAGAACTTAATTTTGATGGCTTTTGTTAGCGGGGCTGATAAACCCGCCAAATTATATCCACAAATAGAAGAAGTAATAGAAGAGTGTAGAAGGGGGGGTTAGAGTGTAGGGAAGATAGTTTGTTTTAGGAGGGGGGGAATTAGGGGTTTGTTGAGGGTCGAGTGAATGTGTTTTTTTTTGGGGGGGGAGGAGGTTGTAAAGATTTTCTTTTATTTGTATTTTGTTGTATAATTTTCACTTGCCACACTTTTATTTTAAAAATTTTAACATTTTGTTGGGATTTTTTTTTTAAATTTTGTATTTTGTTTGTTTTTTTTTAACAAATTGTGTAATTAACTTTTTCCTACACGTTCATTTTTAACGCCCTTTAGCTATATTTTGCCATTCAAAATTTGTTTTTTTGGTTTTAGCTCCTTCTAGTGCAATATCCTTTAGCTGTTTAAACTTATTTGTAAATTTTTGTTTGCTGGTGTGTGTGTTTAATTTAGCCTTACTTTAATCCAATTGGTTTTGGCCATTTCTCCTCAGTTAGGTCATTGGCCTTTTTTCAAAAACAAAGTAAAATTTTTTCTTTTAAAATTTTTTAAAATTTCATAAATAATTTTTCTTAATTTTTTAAAATTATGTTTTACACTTTTTCTTAAAATTTTCTTTATATTTGTTATAAAATTTTTATTTTCTTCTTTTTTAAAAAATTTTTTTCGGTTTTTCTTTTTAAGATTTTTAACAGATTTTACACGTAACGCGCGTTTAAGTTTTCGTTTAAAATTTTTTTTATTAATTTTTCTCTTTTTTTTTAACAAAAAAAGAATTCTATAGATTTCTATATGTATTTTCTTGTTTAATGGTTTTCATTGAAATTTTGTATTTATATGGAGCGTGTGTAATGTATGAAAAATTGGAAAAAATTTTTTTTTTATATGTGTGTATATTAAACGGCCGCCGGTCTTGAATTTTTGCTTAGATACGATTTATAAACAGCGAGCGACGTTTTAAGACTGAATGCATGAAAGAATTTTTGTGTATCTTGAAGTTGGTGCGTATACCATGAGTAGCAATTCTATAGATTCAGTTCAATTTCAAAACGAATGAACGAATATAATAATGCTCGCACACACACAGATACTCTCACACACAGCTACTCATACAGTTTGTTATTAGTTGTTTGAACAGGCATACGAGCAGTTTAACAACGGAAAAGTGCCTTTAGTCTGCACAATCTATAACATTTTACTCTATACATTGCGCATCTCTAAGATACAGGGAGTAAAAACCAGGAACTGCACACAGTTGAAATACTCACTCCCTCGCTTTATAGAAAACCCTTAAAATAAGCCAAACTAACTCTCTCCTCTTGCTATTCTCTCACTCTCATTGACTGCAAAAGATACTTTTAACGAAACCATAAACATAGTAACACACTCTCTCTCTCTCTCTCGAGCACTCTCAGTCTCACTGCAAACAGATACTTTTAACGAAAATAACAGAAAAAATCAAAACAAAACCATAAACAAATCACAAACAAAACATAAACAGAGAGCCACAAACCCTAAACAAGAGAGTTTAAATTTACTCTCTCTCTCCCCAAAAAAAACCAACATATTCGTTAAAATCTTTGTAAAAACAAACCTCCTCAAAAGCGCAGGTTTCGTTAAAAAGTATCTACAAATGTTTATATAAAAAATTTCATAATAATTCAAGAAAATCTCTCTCACAGACTCTGCTTCAGCTTATTTCTAATAAGTTTGAACAAACATCTTTAAAAAAAAAAACAGCAGCACTGCTGCCTCACTGCTTTCAAAAACAAAAAGTCTGCAATATCCGTTATGTCTGCAGTGCAGCTTAGGCTGCATATTGAAGCGTTTAATAATGTAGCATTAAGAGACATTTGAAGGTTAAAAAGTGCGTTAACTTAACATAAAAACAAACAAAAAGTTATAATAGGAAAAAGCCACACACACACACAAAAGATAATTTCAAAGGATTTCTTATTCAACAATCTTTTGGAAATCTGCAAAGTTTTGTAAAACAGGGGAAAACTTCCCCTTAAATCGATAGCTAGATACATAAGATAATTTTTGCTTAAAATATTGCTTAAGGTATTTTCTTTAACGTTAAATGTTAATAACAGTTTAGTTAATGTTAATAACTAAAATAATTCTAACTAATGTTGTAAAAAAAGAACATTTAAAGACAAATATAAGAGTTCAGTTGTTGTTCAGTTATAGTATAGTTCTAGTATAGTTCCTAGTTTCAGTTGTAGTTTAGTTACTGTTCTAGTTCAGTTCTAGTTCTAGTTCAGTTCATTCAGTTCTAGTTCAGTTCTAGTTCTAGTTCAGTTCTAGTTCAGTTCTAGTTCAGTTCTAGTTCAGTTCTAGTTCAGTTCTAGTTCAGTTCTAGTTCAGTTCTAGTTCAGTTCTAGTTCAGTTCTAGTTCAGTCTAGTTCAGTTCTAGTTCAGTTCTAGTTCAGTTCTAGTTCAGTTCTAGTTCAGTTCTAGTTCAGTTCTAGTTCAGTTCTAGTTCAGTTCTAGTTCAGTTCTAGTTCAGTTCTAGTTCAGTTCTAGTTCAGTTTCTAGTTCAGTTCTAGTTCAGTTCTAGTTCAGTTCTAGTTCAGTTCTAGTTCAGTTCTAGTTCAGTTCTAGTTCAGTTCTAGTTCAGTTCTAGTTCAGTTCTAGTTCAGTTCTAGTTCAGTTCTAGTTCAGTTCTAGTTCAGTTCTAGTTCAGTTCTAGTTCAGTTCTAGTTCAGTTCTAGTTCAGTTCTAGTTCAGTTCTAGTTCAGTTCTAGTTCAGTTAGTTCAGTTCTAGTTCAGTTCTAGTTCAGTTCTAGTTCAGTTCTAGTTCAGTTCTAGTTCAGTTCTAGTTCAGTTCTAGTTCAGTTCTAGTTCAGTTCTAGTTCAGTTCTAGTTCAGTTTCTAGTTCAGTTCTAGTTCAGTTCTAGTTCTTCTAGTTCAGTTCTAGTTCAGTTCTAGTTCAGTTCTAGTTCAGTTCTAGTTCAGTTCTAGTTCAGTTCTAGTTCAGTTCTAGTTCAGTTCAGCAGTTCAGTTCTAGTTCAGTTCTAGTTCAGTTCTAGTTCAGTTCTAGTTCAGTTCTAGTTCAGTTCTAGTTCAGTTCTAGTTCAGTTCTAGTTCAGTTCTAGTTCAGTTCTAGTTCAGTTCTAGTTCAGTTCTAGTTCAGTTCTAGTTCAGTTCTAGTTCAGTTCTAGTTCAGTCTAGTTCAGTTCTAGTTCAGTTCTAGTTCAGTTCTAGTTCAGTTCTAGTTCAGTTCTAGTTCAGTTCTAGTTCAGTTCTAGTTCAGTTCTAGTTCAGTTCTAGTTCAGTTCTAGTTCAGTTCTAGTTCAGTTCTAGTTCAGTTCTAGTTCAGTTCTAGTTCTGTGCTAGTTCAGTTTAGTTCAGTTCTAGTTCAGTTCTAGTTTCAGTTCTAGTTCAGTTTCTAGTTCAGTTCTAGTTCAGTTCTAGTTCAGTTCTAGTTCAGTTCTCTAGTTCAGTTTCTAGTTCAGTTTCTAGTTCAGTTCTAGTTCAGTTCTAGTTCAGTTCTAGTTTCAGTTCTAGTTCAGTTCTAGTTCAGTTCTAGTTTAGTTCAGTTCTAGTTCAGTTCTAGTTCAGTTCTAGTTCAGTTCTAGTTCAGTTCTAGTTCAGTTCTAGTTCAGTTCTAGTTCAGTTCTAGTTCAGTTCTAGTTCAGTTCTAGTTCAGTTCTAGTTCAGTTCTAGTTCAGTTCTAGTTCAGTTCTAGTTCAGTTCTAGTTCAGTTCTAGTTCAGTTCTAGTTCAGTTCTAGTTCAGTTCTAGTTCAGTTCTAGTTCAGTTCTAGTTCAGTTCTAGTTCAGTTCTAGTTCAGTTCTAGTTCAGTTCTAGTTCTTCTAGTTCAGTTCTAGTTCAGTTCTAGTTCAGTTCTAGTTCTGTGCTAGTTCAGTTCTAGTTCAGTTCTAGTTCAGTTCTAGTTCAGTTCTAGTTCAGTTCTAGTTCAGTTCTAGTTCAGTTCTAGTTCAGTTCTAGTTCAGTTCTAGTTCAGTTCTAGTTCAGTTCTAGTTCAGTTCTAGTTCAGTTCTAGTTCAGTTCTAGTTCAGTTCTAGTTCAGTTCTAGTTCAGTTCTAGTTCAGTTCTAGTTCAGTTATAGTTCAGTTCTAGTTCAGTTCTAGTTCAGTTCTAGTTCAGTTCTAGTTCAGTTCTAGTTCAGTTCTAGTTCAGTTCTAGTTCAGTTCTAGTCAGTTCTAGTTCAGTTCTACTTCAGTTCTAGTTCAGTTCTAGTTCGATCTAATTCAGTTCTACTTCAGTTGTAGTTCAGTTCTAGTTCAGTTCTAGTTCAGTTCTAGTTCAATTCTAGTTCAGTTCTAGTTCAGTTCTAGTTCAGTTCTAGCTCAGTTCTAGTTCAGTTCTAGTTCAGTTCTAGTTCAGTTCTAGTTCAGTTCTAGTTCAGTTCTAGTTCAGTTCTCTAGTCAGTTCTAATTCAGTTCTAGTTCAGTTCTAGTTCAGTTCTAGTTCAGTTCTAGTTCAGTTCTAGTTCAGTTCTAGTTCACTTCTAGTTCAGTTCTAGTTCAGTTCTTGTTCTAGTTCAGTTCTAGTTCAGTTCTAGTTCAGTTCTAGTTCAGTTCTAGTTCAGTTCTAGTTCATTCTAGTTCAGTTCTAGTTCAGTTCTAGTTCAGTTCTAGTTCAGTTCTAGTTCAGTTCTAGTTCAGTTCTAGTTCAGTTCTAGTTCAGTTCTAGTCAGTTCTAGTTCAGTTCTAGTTCAGTTCTAGTTCAGTTCTAGTTCAGTTCTAGTTCAGTTCTAGTTCAGTTCTAGTTCAGTTCTAGTTCAGTTCTAGTTCAGTTCTAGTTCAGTTCTAGTTCAGTTCTAGTTCAGTTCTAGTTCAGTTCTAGTTCAGTTCTAGTTCAGTTCTAGTTCAGTTCTAGTTCAGTTCTAGTTCAGTTCTAGTTCAGTTCTAGTTCATTCTAGTTCAGTTCTAGTTCAGTTCTAGTTCAGTTCTAGTTCAGTTCTAGTGCAGTTCTAGTTCAGTTCTAGTGCAGTTTGCTGAGAGTTTGTAAAAACATATTAAACTAAATTAAATTTTGCAAATATACAATCATTTTACTATCCAAGAAATTTTAAGACTTACCCTTGCAAAATAATTAACAAAATGTGTTTTCTACATACCTGAAAAGATAAAAAATATAATTTTTATTAGAATATATCAATGAGAATTCTATAGAATTGCATATTTTTGGAAATGTTTTTATAATACTGTGATATTTTTCGTATAAGCTAATAAGCTAAATCGGTGTATACCAAATCTCAAATTTCAAAATTTAACATACAATTCCAAAACTATTTGCTATTTACATGTGAAAAACAAACCATTAGCAACAATTTTCCACAAAATAAATAACATTTATTTGAAAATTGTAACAACTATTAATAAAATATTAAATAAATTTATTTAGGAGTGGCGTCTAAACTAAAGTCTTTATCTCAAAATACAAATATTTTCTCAAAAACTACATTATTTGCGGCATTTTAGTAAAGATCTTAAAAAAACTATCAACAGTATTCAAAAAAACCTTTCACCTGTGCTACATTTTCCTTCGGCCCACATTTTCTCATTAGTTTTTAAGGAGATTTTTTTTTGTTGACAACAAAATTTAGTTCCTTTTAAATTAATTTATTTTTGTTATCATTTCAATTAACAATTAGTTAC